TATAGTTTCTTTATTCCAGGGCCCATTTTGGTAATTTGTGCTTTTACTAGGAAATCACCCATTTTCTTTAAGATTCCAGTTTGTTGTCATGGGTTTCTCTTTTAGGCTTTGAATTTCTCCTCTGTTTGTAGTTTTCTAGAATTCTTGTAGAATTCTTAATTTTATCTACTTTTGCCCAGTGTTTTTTCTTAATCAGTCTAGCTCTCATTCAACTTTTGTGAAGTTTATATTTATTTGTACTTCTTACTTCTTTTTTATTATATTAATTTTAGCTTTTTTAAAAATCTTTATTAATCCCCTTTTCCCAAATTTTTTTTTTTTTTTTGAGGTAGGGTCTTTTTCTGTCTTCTGGGCTAGAGTGTAGTGGCATCATCATAGCTCACTGCAACTTCAAACCTCCTGGGCTCAAATGATCCTCCTGCCTCAGTCTCCCCAGTAGCTGGGACTACAGGCATTTGCCACCATGCCTGGCTAATTTTTTCTATTTTTAGTAGAGATGGGGTCTCACTCTTGCTCAGGCTGGTCTGGAACGCCTGACCTCAAGTGATCCTCCTGCTTCATCCTCCCAAAGTGCTAGGATTATAGGCATGAGCCATCACACCAGGCCCCCTTTTCCTAATTTTTAAAAATATACTTAGTTGTTCTTTTTTTCCCTAATTTCTTGAGGTTAAAAATTAACTTTATTTTTATACTATTTCATGAAAACATTTAAGGTATACTTTTTCTTCTGAGAACAGTTTCCACTGTGACATTTGGATTTTGGTAAATAAAGTTCTTTTTGGTTGCTTTTCTGTGTATGGTTTTGGTCATCTTTACATTATTTGCTTTCAATCTTTTGGATTGAGATCAGAGAATGTCGTTTTTAGAATATTTTAAGGTTTTCTTCATGGTCAAATATGACTGACTTTTGCAAATATTCCATGGGCACCAAAACAGGTTTTGTTGTTTGTTTGAAGGATGTTAGATCCTATACATAGATATGACATCGTTTATTAATTGTATTATTCAATTCCTATATCATCCCACATTTGTTATATATCTAACTTGTCCAATTCTAAAATAAAAGTGTTTAAGTCTTCCAATATAATTGTGTTTTATATGTCTTCTTTTATTTCCTACAGCTTTTGCCTTATATATTCAGCTGTTAGGTTGTTTGGTATCAACATATGAACATTCTCAGTCTTTGATTTTCTGTGTATATTTTGTTTATATATCTATATCTGTCTTTATATTGGTCTATTTATTCCATTTCATCCCTTCTTTATCATCCTGTAGTCTCTGTTATGGTTAATCTGTTGTTTGGCTAGTCTCCTCTTAAGTACTTTCTTTAGGTGGAAAAATATAGGTATTAGTCTTTGATTTTTTACATATCTGCAAGTATCTTCCTACCACCATGACAATTAAATGAAGTCTTGGCTGGTCAAGAAATTTTCGAGTTGGAATCCTTTTCTATCAGAAGTCTGTGGATGTTACTCCACCAACTTCTTGTAGCTGGTTATGCAGAAAAGGTCTGATTCTGTTTTCTTTATAATAAGCAATTTATTCTTTCTATATGAAAGTTTATATAAATTTTCCTTTTTTTCCCTTAAAGCTCCAGAATCTTGCCAGAATATTGTGTGTGTGTGTGTGTGTTTATCAATCCAGCCAGAAACTTGGGGTATCCATTCAATCTGTAGACTCAGGTATGTTGGTCTAAAAAATTTTCTCCTTTCACATGTGTAATTATTGGCTTTTCTTCTACGTACCTTGTCTATGTGGATCTGCCATTATAATATGCCAGCCTTCTTGGATCTATTCCCAAGTGGCTTGTCCTTTCTCTCATGATTTTAATAGTTTTATATCTTTCCTCCATGCTTTGAGATATTTTCTGCATTTGATCTTCTAGCCCACTAATCTGAGTCTCAACAGTGATCATCTTCTCCTTTAATTGATGTACAGAATTAAGTTGGAAAATCTTTTTATTTCCTTTTTTCTTCCTTTAGATATATTTTTGTTTCCTTTGTTGACTCAGTGGAGTTCAGGGTTGGTTGTGGAATATCCAAAGAGACAGCAGTCATAGATGTGGAAAGCAAAGTGGTCTCATCTCTTTGAGCTCACTATGTGGAGATAAGCTGTCCATAAGTCTTCCACTAAAGTAGGTAGGAAGATACCCTGCTTTCTGATCTTTGTAAATTCACTTAGCCTCAGAGGCAGGGAAGACACTATTTGGTTCCTTCTTGGGACCATAGAGAAGTCACACATTCATGTGGGGCTGAAATCAACCTCTACCCTTAGGATCCACAAGATCTCTATGAGCCAAGTTTTCCCTTTACTGATTTATTGGTTTGTTCTCACCCTGGGGATTTCTAATGATGGTCTGCTTGTAGTCTTTGGGCAGGGGTAGAGCCTGGTATCCTTTCCTCTAGGACTCATACAGAGCCCACAGCCTCATTTTCATTCATATACTCATAAGCCTTTGCTGCCATTTAACTAAACATTGGGATCACTAGTTGGAGGAAAAGCAACTACTCAGACTGCCATCTTCTCAGTGTTCTAGTTCTGAACTACTTACTAAGACCTTGGAAAACAAGACTACCTTTTGTGTCCTCCACATCTAATTCTGTGACCTATGCATCATTATCATAATTAGGAAGGAGGAGAAGACAGATAAAGAAGAGGAACTGTAATTCCTCTGGCATTCTGGGAGGCCGAGGCAGGTGGATCGTTTGAGCTCAGGAGTTCAAAACCAGCCTGAGCAAGAGCGAGACCCTGTCTCTACTATAAATAGAAAGAAATTAATTGGCCAACTGATATATATAAAAAATTAGCCGGGCATGGTGGCGCATGTCTGTAGTCCCAACTACTCGGGAGGTTGAAGCAGGAGGATCACTTGAGCCCAGGAGTTTGAGATTGCTGTGAGTTAGTTAGGCTGACGCCACGGCACTCTAGCCTGGGCAACAGGGTAAGAGTCTGTCTCAAAAAAAAAAAAGAAGAAGAAGAAGAGGAAGAACAAGAGGGGGAGGAGGTTAAGAGAATAAGAAGAAAAGAAGGAAAACAAAATAACACTGCCCAAAATCTTCAGAGCTGCTGCAGTCTTTTGAAGATTGGTTCTTAGTACCAAGTGATTTCCTTACATCAGCATCTGCATCTAACATGACCTTCTTACCTTCTTAATTGCCTAATTTTATTGGGTTGTGCACTCACAGGGCCTGTATTTCTGGATCTGTTAGTACATGAATGATTGCCTAATCCTTTTTTGGTGCTCATGGTCGTATAAAGAAGAGATTAGATTTTGGCTACTTGGGGCTAAAGGGCACATACAGGAAAGTCATCCTCATCAGGATAATAGGCTCATTAATGTGTACATATGTGCACATTTGCATGTGGTATCTGTATGTGTATGTGGGACTGCATACATGATTTGGTTTTGTCTGAATGTAAACGTTGATTTGACACTTCCTCTCCTTAATAGTACCTTGAAGAGATTATATTACCTGAGAATTTGTAAGGATAACAAAGAATAGGTAAAAAAGTGAAACTTCTCTTTGGGACAAGTTTACAATTTAACATGTACATGTTTATGTGGCAATTTACAAATCATATGCATACATAACTTCACTGTGCTTCGGGTATTAATCATCAACCATTAATCATTGGGGCACCATGGAACACTCAGCCAGGAGTGGCTGGGAAGCACCTTGCCCTTCTTTCCTCCTCTTGGATACATCAACCCCTGTATCTGTACTAGTCTGGATGCTTCCTGGTGTCAAACTTGAAAGCTTCACCACCAATAATTCTCTTTTCTCAACTTATCACAGCTTGATGTTCAGTCCTTATATTATTAGATTTATATCTCAACTACATAGAGCTCTGATTCTGTTGTTCTCTTATTTTCTCTTCCTAATAGATGTTGCATGAACACTTAAAAGGTAGGAACTGTTGGAAACATGACTCCTGTGTGGTGGGAAGAATTTTGGATTGGGAGAAAGTAAGGAAGAGGAACGGAACAGCAACATTTTGGAGCCAAAGGTACAAAAATAATACAATGGGTAGTGTACACATATGTGCATGTGTGCGCACGCACACTCACACAACTATACACAGTGTCATTGTGCCTCTCTGTGCCATTGACATCTGTCATGGATAATTTAAAACTTGTGGCATGGATAATTTAAAACTTACCCACATATCTAATCTGGCTAGCACAAATCATTGAACCTTAGGAGATGCTTCCTCCAGTGTCAATTGTTAAACTTCAGAATTGCTAAAGTAAAATCTCAAGGTATTTAAACACAGGCTATGTTCTTACCCTGATGGTTGAGTTGTCCTCTTGTATAAAGGGTGTGATGCTAGCTTCTCAAGCTCTTACTGCTAAACTGTTGATTCTATGATTGCTTGGAACTAGAGAAAAATTCCTACATCAGGCCAGAGTTAAAAGTGTAGTCATGCCACAGCTCAAGCCATTGGCATTTAGTAATCATTTGATTCATTCTTATCCATCCATTGGTCAATTACACACATGCCTTTCTTTTATGAGATGCTGCCCTCAGCAGAAATAAAACACTAAGATTATTTGTTTCAAAGCTGCCCATTGATATCTGTCATCCACTACAACAAACCCTTGGAGGAAGTGATATAAAGGGTGGAATTTTAATTGCAGATTAGGGGTAAAGTTTTCAATACCCCACTAACTCTGTCCTTGGCTGCATGTGCATTGGTTTAGGAGGAAAGATTAAAGGATCTAAATAGCGATGACTAAAAGGAGTACAGTGAGTGTCACAAGAATTTACCAATGTTTGAGAGCTACCAAAAATAGCAAGGAGCTTTTGAGCACAGGAAATTGTAGATTCTTAGTGTTAGAAAGAATCTTGGAGATGACTGTCAAGGTTACAAGGTTAAAATTAACAACAAAATTTACAATATTGTAGAAGCTTTCTAGCTGTAAAATAAACTTAATTTTCAAGGAGTTAAATTTACTTTGCATATCATTATTTAGTTCATCTTTTAAAACGCCCAAAGCAGCATTTAAAACTCAGCCTTTAATTGTAGGGAGAAAATATCCATTACAACATTTTAAGAATATTTTCTTTTCTATATAGTTCCCATGGCATCATGAACAAGTTTTTTTCTTTTCCATTTAAAGCTTTCATATAGTCACAGAAATCTTAAGATTGGATTATTATCCAGAGTTAAACAAGAAAATAATCACATAGTCTCATAGGTAGATCTAAAAGATACTAGGGTAGAAATTATGCCTAATGCTTATTTGTAGTTGAGTTGAAATTTCTTTACTGTTTCCTACGTGGGAATCTATGTTTACAAATTAAGTGTAGTGTCAAAAGGTGGATGTCTACATTTTCTTTTCCTGGAAAGGTCATGCTGTTCACTGTTGCTTACATTAGCCATGTGTTTATCTGCGGTCAAAAGAACCAGTGCACAGCTTGACAAAGTTTTCCTCATATATTGGAAGGCTGTCCCCTGCTTTGTCACTGTAACCTAATTATTTGACCAAGTCACCCTTTCATGAATGCTTCTGGTCAAGTTGATCTGTTTGCTGCTTTTGTTTTCCACAATTTGGCAAACACTCTGCCTTAGTTGCATTTGGCTTCAATATAGCCAGTCTACTTGAATATGTCATCTTATACTCTGAAAATACTTTCAGTTCAGGAAAAAAGTAACATGAAGCAGCAAAGAACGCTGGATTAGCAATCAGTGTCTGGTCTAAAGTAGGCATTCAATTTAAAAATACTGTTTTTGATAGAAAAATGGATTCTAGTCCCAGCTCTGTTACTATTTAAGACAACTTGGGCAAGTTGCTTCATCCCTTTGTTCCTATTTATCTGTTAAGGAAAAACCCTAATCTATTGACCTCAAGTTACCATAAGGGAACTGATACTAGCACTGATTTCTACTCTTGCTGGGCAACCAAGTCACCTAGGAAAGCTTCTAGAACTATGGCTGCCCAGACTCTACTTTTAGAGAGTAGGTTTCAACTGGTCTGAGGATGGTACCCTTGCATCTGTACATTTTAAAAGCTCCTCTGGTGGTTCTAATGTGCAGCCAGGTTTCAGAACAACTGCCCAGAAGAAACCTGTCTAGTATCTTTTTCCTTCCTGTGGGAGAAAGACTAGTTCATCTGCCTAGATGGCTAAAGTCTGAAGATAATTGGTCCAAGTTTCTCTACTGGGCTGCACTAAAGGGTTTAAGATTTGACCTGCCATCCTTTGAATCTGCCTGCCCAAAGTGGCATCTTGTGGTCAGTGTCATAGAGCACTACCTAGGGGTAGACTCAGTCCTTTTAGGGGAAGCCTGTGATGTGGTTGCTAACAATCAATTTAAGTGGAAGAATACAAGAAGCTATATTCTGATTTGATAAGGCTAATATTTAGATCTCTATCTCAGGTCTATGTTAACTTCTCAATTGATTTTAAACTTGGGGGAAGGAAGGGGAAGGCTTAGATAAGCCACACCAACACACTTCACCAAATCTTGTACTACCTCACAAAGTCATGAGTATTAAATAAGCTCTTGAATGTGCTTTGTAAATAGTGAAGAGCCAGACAGATATTGACTTATCTAAGGTCTCCCACCAGATCTAAAATTCTGAATACATTGAGATGTAGTAAACACAGCATCACTTCAATGCTGGTAGGCCAGTTATAGCACAGTATCAATACTGATTTCCTGTCATAGCATATTAAATAAAAGAAGGAGCATCCCATAGAGTTCACAGAGTTGAAGTGGAAATCCAGAAGACTGGATTCAAGATTCAGCTACGTGGAGTCTTAGACATGTCTCCCTGGGCTTGAATTTTTTTTCATGTCTCAAATAAGTGAGTCAACTTCAGACTTCTAAGGATTCTTCTAGCTCTAACACTCTAGGGATTGCAGATAAATTGCTCATGAAGGTGGAAATGACTGGTTGGAACATGCCTAAGACTCACATATCCCCTGAAAAATTCTGGCTTTCTATTTGGTATGTATAAAGAGAGAAGTCAGTGAAGAAAAAAATTTTCCTGTGGCACTAGTTCTAAGGAGAACTGAGTGGGTTAGAGAATGCTTTTATTCTCAGGAAGGAGGTTGGAGTTACACTTGATGTGTTTTCTCTTGTCCCTCAAATTTCTAGGTCTATCTTCACCAAGAAGCCTTCCTATATATTAATCAGGCAAGTGCTGAGCTTCTTCTATCTCAGCAAATTTGAAGCATTCGCTGTTTTGCAAAGAATGTGCCTTTCCTACTCACTCCATTTACCCCAACTCATAACTAACCACCATATTCTTCCATATTCTGGATCTAGAAAAATGTCAGGTGTTCTAAGGTCACCAAAATAATGGTACTATAAAATAGCAATATTAAGTGTTATGATATCAATGTGATCTATTAGAACTGTATTATTCTGGATTAAGATTGTATGATTCTGGACTAAATGCAAGAAGTCACTGACCTTAGTAAGCAAGATGATCTGACCCATTTCTTGTTACAGCATGCATCCCTAAGTCTGTTGACACTGAGGAAGCAGAAGGAATGCTAGGAGGTTTAATTCATCTTCTATCCCTTCCATCTAGCACAAAGAGTAAATGCTAATACATGCTTCATTATGTATTTAATTACATAACAAGTAATCAGGCAAATAACCAACATTATAAGTAAAGATTTTAGATTTTTTAAAAAGTAAATGCTCATCAATCAAGACTAAAATACTGTTACTTTTCCAGAATACAGAATTGGATTCCAACAAAACACTTTTAATGAAATAAGGCACAATGTTCAATAAGGCAAAATTCACAGAGGGCTTGTTAATATAAGATCGCATTCTTTTGTGTGTATGGGACAGGGGGGAAGGCACTAGAGTTGAAGTAGCCTAAATATTCTTTTTAGAGCACTTAGAATTACAAGGTAATATAACAAATTACCTTGATACAATAAACTGTATCTTATCTCAAAAATAAAAATTATTGAATGTAGCCAAATTACATTTATTTTTACCACTGTTATAATTATTTATATAAGATGTAGATCATAATGCACAAGATTTCAAATATAGAAAATTAAGAAATCAGAGCATAAAAACTTGATCAAAGTAAAAGTCAATATATTTTTAATATCCTTTGAGGTCCCAAACTTTATGAAAAGTTAAAATACTGGTTATTTAAAATTTTTCTCCCACTATGTTTTTGTTTTTCATACAAAGTGGGCTCAGAAATGCAATGAACCTCAACTGCTGGCACACAAGTCTTTACATGATTGTTACAAAGTAACTGTTGAGGTTAATATTCTTTCTCAATAACACATCAATGTGAATCATTTACGTTAGTGAAAGGATTCTCTTAAACATCAATTGTAGACAGAATTAACCAATTTTATAAAGTTTTGCAATATCAATCTTATCCCAGGATCTTCCCCCAGCTGGAATTTACAAAAAAGGCTTATCCAATGTATTCGTAGCCAAAGGAACAAATTAAGTTCTGTGAATGCAGATGGTCTTTCTACTATGGCTTTCTAATATGACAGTTTATAAATAACCTTCATTAAACTAATAGATTTTAATATTTACTAGATTGAATACTGCCCCTTATAAGAATTGAGACTGACCAATGCTAATTAAAAGTCTAGTAGCACCCAAATCACTATTACCCTGTGAGTGTTCAATAACATGTAATGTTAGCAAACTATTATTTTTTTTTACAACAAATCCTAGTAAATATGGACCAAGGAGAGATAGACAAAGAATGGGGATATTTGCATACAAAAATATTAAACATATCCCCCTTTCAACCTATATTACAAAGACTACAAGATATGGCAGGCCTCATAATAACAACATCTTCATATGATGATATAAGTATGAAGATGATTAGAAACTGCTATGTCATCCTTTGGTGGCACCAGTTAAATTTTTAAAAATAAAGTAATATACAAGAGAATATACCTTTTCACTGACTTTATTTCAGGGGACCCTGATCCTTATGGCTTTCATCTTCTGCGATAGTTTGCATGATTGAAGTTCACTCCCAAGAAGCCCTAGACTCATACACATTAGGCCATTTTAGGGGAAGGAATCTCTTAGCATCAGTCTTTCTCATTCAAGTCAAATTCGAAAGGTCACAAGGCTATCACAAACAACTTATTAAATGATATCATGCCCAAACTTTGGGTTTACAGTGGAGGATTTAAGGCACATACTTTCTGACAACTGAAATCACTGCAACCTTTAAAAAGATCATGATTACAATAAAAATACAAAATTGCATGCTATAAAATTCATTAATGGTATATAAGGTATTCATTAATGTTATATAAGGCATAGTGCTTAATATAGAAACAGTGAAGGTCAAATACTTTTTTTTCAATACAGAGGGAATCAGAACTGCATATTACAGGTCACAGTGCCTAAAAACCTATATAATAGCCTTTAGTGTTATTAAATGCTGAGCACAACTTAAAAGCTCATTATTTCAAGCTAAATGGGGAGTAATACTTATACTGACCTAAAATCTCTACTTTTGGATGAGAAGAAAGGGGATCATTTAGCTAAAAATTAGGTACTTCTAAATGTAGCATAACTAATCTTATATATACATGCTATAATTGATAAAAGTTTTATCTACAAAAGTTGTTATGAATATTTAGGAAAAATACCACTAACTTTTTATATAAATAGCTATTGCTAAAATGCTTTAAAAGGTCAAACTTTATTTGCACTATTTCCTTAGTGTTCTTACTTTTTTACATACTGAAAAAGTAAACATTAACCTAGGCTACCTGCTACGCCACAAATTCCAGGTTAATGAGGTATTACTTTCTCCCTTTGGGAAGAGCAAGGTTGGCTGTAAGGCAATCCTATTATTTGCTGGCCCTTCTTTATGAAGGAATGTGGATAATTTACCAATAGCGGAGGCTGAATAAATTTAGTGATAAAGGCTTTTAACGGTAGTCAGTAGGCCACTTAATAACTTAATTTTAAAACAATTCACTATTACTTTAAAGGGCTTTCTTGGCTCAGGACTATCTGTAGGAGTCTGGTGACTTTTCTTTCCTTGCCCTTTGTTGCTTTTAAAGATTTCATTTAACACTCCAGCAATCGGCCTTTTCCTTCTCTTCTTTTGTTTAAGCCTGATATTTATAATATCGGTAGAACTGGTCTGCAGTATTACAATGCACTACTGTGGACCGTCTTTTACTTTTATTTACATCAACACAAAAATTTCTCAAATTTGAGATATAGTTTACAATGCAAATCTTTACTTTTGAATGTGGTAAAAAAAAGTTCTAAATATCAAAAATTGTACAATAACACCTCTTCAGCACACATTTAGATGTAAAATATGACCAGTCAGCTTTGGACCTACCTCCACTATTCAAAATACAGGAATAGTGAGAACCCTGACCAGCTGGTCCTTGTGTCAGCTAATCCCTGGCACCATGGAATCAAAATATTGTATTAACCAATTTTCCTATTTTCTGAAATCCTAGGACTATCTCACCAACTCAGTTTGGTGATGCTGAGATAAATGGATTCTAGGAATAAAGACTACTAGGAAATGTATAATGTATTCATTCCAATTTCAAATATTAGCAGTGAAGAATTCCATTCTAAATATATTAATGTTTTGCTTAAGTAGTTTTAGTCACAGTTTTGGTCACTAAAACTGTCCAAGTAGAGTGGCATTAAAACGTATTTCATTATGAAATTTAGACTTTGCTGATTCTGTAAATGTCTTTTTAAAAGCCCAATTAAAGTTTAACTGTAATTAAACACAAACATGTGACTTAGGAACTAAAGAGACTGTCATTTTAAGTACATAGTCAGCTATATGATTGAGAGCTGATTATATGGTTTCTAGATTATCAATCAAGTCCCTTATTTCGCGCCTTCTGATTAATTTCTATAATCATCAGTTATACAAAAAGGGAAGGTGGGGAAAAGAAAACAGGAAAATCTTAGAGATTATTAGCAGCTCTTATAAAAGGTTAGGTCCAAGATTTTTTAAAAAGATAACGCTAACAGTTAAAATGTAGGTTTCATTAAAAGTTTACCAAAGACAGTTGCACATTGATCATAGATTTTTCAACAGTACGCAGAACCACATTTTGTTGAAAGAACACTGTGGTATACATTTACAATACACAGCAAAGGCTAGAAACTGTTTCTGGTTGGACCTATTTATATCTGTAAAAGATGAAACAGTATAACTTCTTTCTAGGAAGCTGGAAATGGTATGTAAGGTTAAGTACTATATTTACATACCTACCAATTTATTTTACAAAGATTAACTCTTAGAAGACTATTCAACATGTTACTTAGGTGAAGCTGGTAATCTGTTTAAATAAGCAGAGGAATTTAAGCCAGAAAAATTTGGTCCTTTCAATTTAGGTATTTTACTATGAATACATTATTTTCTATTAAAATATTTTATGTGTCTTAACTAAGTCACTTACAAAACATTTTAGGTTGTCACTTAGGCATAGCCTAAGTCATCTTTACCTTTCATAATTATGCAGTTTGCAGCATGCTGTGGCTCACATGGAAAAGTAAGCAAAGACTTTATTACTTCTATTTTATGATATAAGCACTCATGTACTACTTTGCTAGGCGGTAGAAACATTACTTCTACAGACAGAAAATTTCTGAACCAAAAAAAAAAATTACTACATTATAACAAGGTAAAGGGGAAGGGATTCATTCTATAGCAGCGTTTCACAACTGCAGTTCATGAAACTCTCATGTTTCATGAATTACATGAAACTCTCATGTTTCATGAATTACATGAAACTCTCATGTTTCATGAATTAACATACAAATAAACACATAATCCCTGAATTATCCTATACTACAGTTTCTTCTACAATAATATGTGAAAAATCCTAATACACATATATATCATTATTATATAACAATCTACCTTTAAGAAATGATGTGCTCGTACTTAATGATCTTGACAGTTAAAAAAAAAGTAAAGAAAGAAAAAGAAATGATGTGCTCAGTCATGAATGTCAGAAGTCAAAGAGATCATCTGATGTTCTAATACTTGTCTAATCTGCATATTATTGTATATTTAGCAGTTACCAACAAAACATTATGTTACTATAGGTTGGTTATCTAATGATTACTAGTAAATGTTGTGTATTTTATAATATCAACTTATAGTTGTGCTATATTATTCAACATTTATTGCATATTAAGCTAGTTAATAAAAATTTGGTAATTTCTAATGGCAATTAATTTGTGAAACTATTTTTCTGCTATACTTTAAGGATACAATATAGTTAATATATTTTTTCTACTTTTTATTAATACTGTATTTTTAAAAAGTATTCCATGGCTAAAGTAGTTTTGGAAACTATTCTATTGTGTATATAAACAATGACTCCTTTCTCTAATTTTATTTGGCTTCTTGCCATGTTTTTCTAGTCATATTATCAATAGTTTCTCTTTTAAATGTAGGGAAAGTTACAGTTCAGCAGACTACATAGGCAAAGGAGTCACTTTTTTCCCCTCCACTCACTTAATGCAAGATATAAAGCAGCTTTCCTAGCTTACATTTCTTCCAGAATTTTCTGTCAAAAACTATTATTCTGTCTTATGATGAGAAGATTAAGATTGTGCCCTCCCATTAAGTGTAAAAGTGATGTGCTTAGAAGGGATTACTATACATTTGAACAAAAAAAATGAAGTTAAAATTGCATGAGATCAGATATTGGATATACAGTTGTTGACCTAGTTCTGTTAAAGCATGTTTTAAAGTGTTCTGTATAGTATGTTGTGTTTCAGGTTGCTCTGACATTACTTCTTGAATAAATTTCTATATCCTTGCTAGGATTAAGGCACTGTAACAGTTATTGTTGGATTACATGTTAATAACAATCATATAGAACAAAGGAGAAGAACTGAAGAGTTTTAATATCCCACTTAAAAGTTATATCCCTTACTTAACCAGTTAGTTGGTCAAAAAAGTTTAGGTCCTATGTAACCATGTGTGAGCTTATCGGAATAGCTGTGTAATCTAAACATATGGGCAATATAAGAAGGGAGGGCTAATCCTGATAATGGTTCAACCTAAACCCTAGGACAACTCTGATAATAACTACAGCTTTGATAACTTCTTGCATTCTTCATCTCAACTGCTACAAGTTACACTACTCATACTCATGGCCTTTCATAGCAGTGCACTTCTGAGTGTACCATTCTACTGTGTGATTCATGCAAACCTAGAGTGAAAATTGCAAACAATCAGCCCAATTTGGAACTGTCATTCAGAGTAAATTATATTCAAAGAATCCAAAACATGGAACTGGACTCATTCCTGCTGATTGGGTAGATAAAACAAAATCTTTTACATCATCCTCGACTCTTTCATAGACATTCAGAATGAAGATAAGGTTTCTAGTAAACTTCAAGCTCTATCTTCTTTTTTAACCACCTTTGCTCAGTTTTTTAGTATTTCACACCACCCTTGTTCAACCAAGAAGAACTTTCTGCATTCTGTGTGCGGCGACACTAGCCTCATCTTCTGAGTCAGATTCGCTCTGGGATGTGGAGCTGTGAGAGGCAGAACTGCAAGGAGAAGAGCATTCTGGAGAACACAAGTAGTGCATCAGTGGGAGGCGGTATTTCCCACAGAAGTCCACAAATTTAATTTGTCTGACACAGCAGTCAAAGTAGACTCCTAGACAGAAGGAATACAAAGTAATCATTACAAAGCAAGGAATCACAGTTTCTTTTTCAACCCTTCTGCAGCATTCTGGAGAAATGTCACAAAAGTCTTCTCTTTCATGAATGTTAAGCAGAAATAGTACTTGCATCTACAGGTGCGTATAGATCTACTGGAAGGTCTTAGAGCAATGTGGCTGCAACAAGAAGGGAAGGCAAAGAGATTTATCTTAAAGGGAGCAGACGCACAAAGGATACTGTCTACTTAGCTTCTTTCCTCTGGGTGACTTTGGGGGACAGTGGATAAGGGGCATTATAAGATACCTAAAGTGCCCTTCCTCTACCTTACAGTCAAGAGACTAAAGCAAAACAAAAACTCCTTTAATAATGATATTAAAGAATTAGTTATTATACACAAAATTTGCACAAAGGAGATGGCTTCTGGTACCTCTGTTCTTACGTACTGGGAAGGCAAAATTGAAAGAAACAAAATGTCATCTTACATTTCCTATAGGCTCTAAATCTACAGGCCTCAAAGCCACTGTTATTTCTCTGATAATCTCACTCTTGATTCTCATACAATTATATATTGTCAGGTAGACTGAAAGTAGTAGTCAACTCTTTTGATTCCTGAGTTAGTGCTCCTAAACTATGGCCCATAGCTAAGTAAAAACAGAGCTACAGCTGAGAGGAAAGCAGAGGTTGCCATGCCTCTGGGTTCTAGTTATCTTTAAAAAGATACTACCCATCTCTAACACAGAAAGACTATCATAATGATTGCAGTATAACCAGAACATTTAGAACTCTGGGTCTCATTGCCCCTCTGGAGAGAAATCTCAACCTTTATATTCTACTGAGATTCCTCTGGCACCAACTACTATATATTTATCATGTAAGGGGCCAAAATAAAAAGATGTGGTCCAAGCAAAGGAGAAAAGATGATTTCTATTTCTATTTTTTCCTCCGATACTGTACCACTAACATTGCAGTTTTCTAATCTTGTAGTAAGAATATAACTCATAATTAATAGTTTAAAGGGGGAAATTTGTGGTACATTACATTCAACAATTTAGGAAAGTAGATACATTCAATAAATTGGTTAATCAACAAATTGATAATAAATCTTCCCAAAATGTGATAGCTTCCTGGAAATAGATGGAAGTAATAAAATAAAGCATTATGAAGTTACTATGAGCTAAAATAGTACAATACTATCTTATCATTTGTAAGATCTCAGACTATAAAAAGAAAGAAAACACCTCACAAAATATAAAAGTACTTTTGTTTAACTTACAGATCAATAATGAATCCGAGGAGAAAAATGTCTAATGCTTCATCTTATATATTATCTCAAATTGTAAACTGATAATTTTTAAATCATTTTTGTTCCTCAGATAAATAGCACAACAGTATACTAAAGAAGTCATGAAGAAACCACTTCAGAGAGAGAACAGAATTCTTGCAGAGGTTCATTTCTAGAAAAGGATGAATACAAAGAAGAGGCTAGATTTAGATTATTAGGCCTGAGGGCCTGGTATGAATGCCTGTCCTCTGTCACAGTGATAGCCAATTCAGCAAAGGAGAACCACAGAGAAAAGCTTAAGCACTTCTAACTTAGCACAGCACTATAACCTCCACCTTCTGAGTGATTAGAAATGGCCCAGAGTATTTTCTTTTTAAACCCAAAGTGTCTTTTTTATCTTTTAATAATCTTTGAGGGATTTAATCATTTTCTCCCTTTTAACCTTCTAACAGTTTCAGGACAAGATGGGACTTCCAGGGAAAATCTCACCTGGTTTTGGTCTTCATTATGCAGCATTTTCTCAGAGATTTTTTTTTTTTAAGTAGTCTTTTATGAGGGAGTCAAAACAAAATGACTTCCCACCCACACACCCTGGCACTTCAGGCCCTTCACAACCTAGCCTCAATGCATTTTTTCACTCTTCTCTCTCATTACTCCCTTAACTGTACATCTGAGCCAAATTATTACTTATCCAACATTCCGTCCCATACTGCTCTGTCTCCACTTTGTACTCTGTCTGAAAAGTTTCCTATTCTCAATCTTACCCTATCAAAATCTAATTCATACCTTAAGAATCATCTCATCTTTTCTAGATTTAATTCAATGTACTCTTTCCCTCCTTTGATTTCCAATAGCATTTTGAATTCCTTGGGATACTTACCTTACTTTGCCTTATATCATTTGCTTAATTCTCTCTAAATACCAAACTTAAGAAACTTTGAACCATGGATTTAAAAGAATTTAAAGTTCTAGGGTACATCTTGAAATCATCACAAATTTAGCCCATTCTCATTCATCATGAATCATACCCTATAAAGGTATACGGTACACAGAATGGTGAATCTAAGAAAACATCCTTCGAATAAATATGAAAGGTGTCCTAATACTTTAGAAACTCTTTTTAAACAATTAGAACTGTTTATGCACTCTTTCGTGTTTTCTTTCATTTTTCCATCCTGATTTATTATCTTATAACAGATCCAAGACAGGATGAGACTTCCTGGGTATTTGCCTTGTGTATGAATCCTAAAATATTATGGAAAGAATTAAAAAAAAAAAACAAAGAAATCTAGAGGATAAACAACTTACTTTCTGGTAAAACAGTGAAAGGATGAAGGGAACATAAACAAACTATCTTTGAAAGAAAACTTAGCTAATTATTAATAAAATAATACTTAGATCATCAAATTCAAAAACATAGCTAAATGAATGGAAAACATGAACAATGAATGAACTTACCTCCACATTTTGGGTTTGGGCAATTGCTGGCTAAGCCCAAGTATCTGAGAAGATTCCCAGGAAGATCATAGGGAGTGTAGGAGATATTTCGTATCTTAATGGTCCGTGCAGCTAATTCCAAGAGAGTTGGAGGGTCATAGGTTAAATCTCTAACAAAACGAACAACCAGTGGATTTCCTCGTAAACTCAACTCTTCCAGATGAATAAGGTTGAGGATCTCTCGAGGGAGATAAGTCAGCAAGTTATTGTGAAGACTGAGGGAACGAAGTGAATGCAACCTAGAATAAATGCAGTATAAAAATCAATGGCAGTAAGCTTGGCTGGGCGCAGTGGCTCATGCCTGTAATCCTAGCACTCTGGGAGGCCAAGGAAGGAGGATTGCTCAAGGTCAGGAGTTCGAAACCAGCCTGAGCAAGAGCAAGACCCCATCTCTACTATAAATAGAAAGAAATTAATTGGCCAACTAATATATATATAGAAAAAATTAGCCGGGCATGGTGGTGCATGCCTGTAGTCCCAGCTACTCGGGAGGTTGAGGCAGTAGGATTGCTTGAGCCAGGCTGACACCACGGCACTCACTCTAGCCTGGACAACAAAGTGAGACTCTGTCTCAAAAAAAAAAAAAAAAAAAATCAATGGCAGTAAGCAACTACCAAGAAAATTAACTTTGTGTTTGTGTGTATACTGTATAGAGCTTGATTTCCCCTTAAGAATGAGCAATTAAGGTTAACTGAAATAAAAAGGTGCTGAAACTAGATCATAGTGAAAATTTGTAAATGTCATAAAGGACTTTTTTGCCCTTGAAACCTCAGCAAGCTTAGAGTACTTAGAGTGTATTCTGATGTGCTAGCTGATATAAAATACTATAAAGATATTTAGGGGGGAGGGTAAGATGGAATGCCCTAGTATGCAGATACCTAAAAAAGGAAAGATTTCAGATGCAACAGGAATGAAGATCCTTCGCATTATAAAGCCTCATGAAGATAGGAATGCTTCATATCAAGTATAAAATCACTAAAAATCCCATAAAACCAAGGGAAATCTATGTTGAATTAATATTTTATTCTTTGATTATAGAAAATAGGCTGAACAAATATTTTGAGGAATAAACCAGGGCATTTAAAAGTAAAATTTTACCCTGTGCTCTGAAGGTCCTAAAAAAAAAAAAAAAGTAAAATTAGCCGGGCGCGGTGGCTCACGCCTGTAATCCTAGCACTCTAGGAGGCCGAGGCGGGCGGATTGCTCAAGGTCAGGAGTTCAAAACCAGCCTGAGCGCGACCCCGTCTCTACCATAAAAATAGAAAGAAATTAATTGGCCAACTAATATATATAACATAAAAATCAGCCGGGCATGGTGGCTCGTGCCTGTAGTCCCAGCTACTCGGGAGGCTGAGGCAGGAGGATCGCTTGAGCCCAGGAGTTTGAGGTTGCTGTGAGCTAGGCTGACGCCACGGCACTCACTCTAGCCTAGGCAAGAAAGCAAGACTCTGTCTCAAAAAAAAAAAAAAAAATGAAAAATAAAAGTAAAATTAAAAGTAACCTAAGAACTATACTTACCATTTACTGTAAATGATACCGTATCACTTACTTTGAGAATACCTAATTCTTTTCTACATATAAAACATGTGAGTGAATGCAAAACAATAATTACAAGGCATGGATATCTGTGTATATATAAATGTCTGAAACTACTTACTGTGAAAGCTGAGGAGGCACACTTTGAATTTTGTTGTCACATAATACCAAGTAAGTCAGAGAAGGCAGATTTGCTAATTCTGGTGGGATTTCTTTGATGAAGTTTCCCCCAAGATATAAACATTCTAAACTGCAAAAATAAATGAACAAAAACAAAAAAGTAAATAAATACAATTTGGACAAGATACTCCATTGTTTCTACTACAATGAACACATTTCATCTATTCATTCAGCAAATGTTTCACTTAGAATTTGTTATGTGCTATCCAATCTCTAGAGAAATAGTGCAATCTTCAGGAAGCTTTTACTATACCTAAGCAGACAAGACATACCAATGTTACACATTATTATAATTAAACACAAGGAAACCTAAAAATAAGCATTACATGATTAAAATACCAAAATAAGAAGGACAATTAATAAATGATATAGGAATTGAATGAAAAGGAAGAGAAATAAGAAAAAGCCACAGTAGTTCTAACTGGAAAAGGCTTCCCAAAAGTATTATGAATTCAGCTGGACTATGAATTTAGCCCATTTAGATGTGAAGAAAGAGGACATCAGGTTGGAGGAGAGGGCTTTTTAGACACTATGAGTATACCTTTTTAATAACAGAAGAAGACAAAACATCTTGAGGAATCCAGAGATAAGGCTGAAGAGAGGCTAGATTATAGGAACCCAGATTTTCTTACTGGTATGCTAGGATTGATGCACTAACAAGCAACTGGAAAACCACTAGCCTTTTTTTGAAAAGAGTAGAAAACTATAAGTCTCTACATTTCTCCTTTGCTCTTATTTTAGCAAATATATTCTTTAGAGGTGTCTAAATTGACCACTATCATGAAATTAAAGTTACAATTAGTTATTCTGTTTTCCAACAATAAGTTAACATTTTATTAAATGTTTTAAATAAAAACAGCTTTAATTTTTTTTAACTATTAATATTTGATGGTGTGAAAAATGGTACCATTCTGGTTTTTTTAATCTGCAGAACTGCAGTTCCCTAATTATTAGTGAAGTTTAGCATCTTTTCATATATTTCTAGCTATTTGTATGTCTTTAGAGAATCGCTTGTTCATATCATTTACCCCTTTTTCTCATGGGTTATATGGCTTTCTCTCATTAATTTGTTGGGAGCTTTGTTGTTAAATATATGTTTTGCATAACTTTGTTCCTTTGTGGCCTAGAGGATGGTATATTTTTATTCATGTAGTACATGTGTATAAAAATGGCTATTAGGATTAAGCTTGTTCACGCAACACATTTTTTATAGTTTCTCTTATTATTTCACCTCTTGGTTTGGTGGCTAGGCTCCTACCATACATGGGTGTTTCCCTCTACCCTTCAGAGTTCTGTCAGTTTTTGCTCTCTTTCCCTAAGTGTACAGAAGCTTTATAGTGATACTTTCAAGTTCATAACTGCTAAAACTTCTCAATTATATGAAGCATTCTCTTTGTTCCTTTAAATACATTTTGTCTTGAAATTTCTTCTGATTATCAATACTGCTTACCAGTTTTACTTTTGCTAGTACTAATATTTATTTCATTCAATCCCGGTTCCACCATATACCAATATAAAAACTTGGACCAATTACTTAATCTTGCTGTGCCTCAGTTTTCTCTTCTTTAAAATGGAATAATATCACATATCATAAAAAATGCCTAGTTAACAAATATTCCCATTCTAGGGAAACTGTGTAAATAAATGAGTTCAAGTTCTTGACCTGAAAAAGCTTACACTACAGTGAGACAGACAATAAATGGACAAGGGCATATCTATTATGCCAGATAGTTTAAGTGCCATAAAGAAAAACGGAGGCAATCACATAGTGATGGAGGTGATAACTCTAGAAAGAGTGGTCAGGAAAGATTTCTCTCAGGAGATGACATTTGAACAGAGATCTAAAGGAGATGACTGGCTGTGTACAAACCCCTGCACTGGAAAAGTGACTGGTGTGTTGTGAAACAGCAGCACAGCCAGCATGGGTAGATCAGAGTGACTGAGGGACCACGGTGATCAAAGAGGTCTAAGAAGTAGCCTGGGAAGCCAGATCACAGAGACCCTTCCAGCCTTCATAAGGAGGGTTTTGAACAAAGGCTAGTCATTTACTTTAACTTGCTCTTTAGAAGGATCACTTTGGCTACTCTGTGGCAAATAGCTGGAGAAATGGGGGAGCATCTTGGGCAGGAATGGAAGCAGGAAGAGCAGACTGCAGCCTAATGCAGTAGCTTAGATGAGAAATGATGATTTGCCTGGTAAATCTTTTTCTATCCTTTTGCTTTTAACTTACTGGTATATCTCTTTTTTTTTAATTTCGGCATATTATGGGGGTACAGATTTTAAGGTTTTAATAAATGCCTTCCCCCCCCCACAAGTCTGAGTCTCCAGCATGACCATCCCCCAGATGGTGCACATCTCATTATGTGAGTGAGTACATCTTTAAGTGTAACTTAAAGTACATCTTTAAGTGTAACTCATAAACAGTACATTTTGATAGTTGATATGGCTGGACTTGTGTCTTCTATTACCATGGTACATCTCAGTATCTTTTTCCTTCAGTTCTGCTTTTTGTTGTGCTTATCCAGTTTCCTTTTGTTCCATTCCCCCTCTACTATTTTGAATGGTATATGCTATTTCTATTTTGCTAGTAGGTATCCCCTTCAATTTCCTTTGTGTGCATTCTCTCAAAACACACACTTGGCCGGGCGCGGTGGCTCACGCTTGTAATCCTAGCTCTTTGGGAGGCCGAGGCGGGCGGATTGCTCAAGGTCAGGAGTTCGAAACACTTTATGCTCTCTTCTCTGTCCTCTTCATATCATCTTCTAGAATTAGTTCTACCTTGATTTTCTAAATAAATTTATTTAATTTCCAATCAATAATTATTCACATTTATCATGTTTTACTGATTTTCTTTGTTCCATTGTTTTGGAGGCTTGTTACTTTTTTAAGGATCATTTTTCTTAGAGTCCCTTGTTCTGATGTTTTTATTTTTCCTCCCTCTTGAGTAATAGTTTAGCTGAGCATAAAATTCTAGGTTGGAAGTTACTTTCATTAGCACTGGGAAGATGTTGCTCCATTATCTTATTACAATCAATATTACTATTATTCTTTGCAGGTAATCTGTTTTTTTTCTTGTTAGGCACTTTAAACATTTTTTCCTCTATTCATCTTTATTATTCTGAAGTTTTCCTATGACATTTCAAGATATCAGTTTAGAGAGTTCTTTCTTTAATTGTGGGAAATTTATCCACTAATACTTCAAATGTTGTCTTTCTTTTTTTCTCTAATCTTTCCCCCACCCCCACCCATAGGGTCTTGCTCTGTAGCCTGGGCTAGAGTACAGTGGCATCAGCATAGCTTACTGCAAACTCAAACTCCTGGGTTCAAGCAATTTTCCCGCCTCACCTTCCCATGTAGCTGGGAATACAGGTGCAAGCCACCACACCTGGCTAATTTTTCTGTTTGTTTGTAGAGATGAAGTCATGCGCTTGCTCAGGCTGGTTTTCAACTCCTGGCTCAAGCAATCCTCTTACATTGGCCTCCCAAAATGCTAGGATTACAGGTGTGAGCCATTGGGCCTGGCCTCTATTCTCTTTCTAGAATTGCTCTTTCCAGTTTGAACTGCAGGATCTATCCTCCCCATCTTAACATTTCTTCATACTTTTCATTTCTTTATCTCTTTGTGCTGTATTCCATAATACCTCAGTAAGATCTTTCAGCTTAAGGATTCACTCTTCAGCTGACTCTGTCTACCATTTAGACCATTTAACAAGTTCATATATATTTTTTTCATTTCTAGGGATTCTAACTGGGTTTTCATAATTGTCAGTTTTAAAACACCCTATTCTTGTTTCATTGATGAAGTTCCTTCCTTTATCTCTCTGAAATTAGGAAATATACTTAAAGTACTTTACAGATTACCTTATTATAGATATTTTTACAGGTTTAATTCCATTTGTTGAATTTCTTCTCTATCTTTCATAATCTCAGCCTTCCTTAATATGTGGTGATTCAAAAGCCAATTTGAATCTGAAGTTTTGTCTTTTTAAAATAAAAAACAGATTAAGGATTTTTTTTTGTCTATTTCTGATTCTATAAAGCTTTTCAGGTTGCATTTCTCTCTTAGACTTATGCTTAGAAACAGAATGCAGACTATTTTAATTTTATGTTATCTTTTTTTCTCTCAAAGATTACCTTGTAGCAAAAATCATTGTCTGGTTACAAGATTGAATTCTCCCACACATAAGTGCTTAAGCACTGATGAGAAAGGTTCCTAGGCAGGGTTTTTTGATCCTACCTAGTATCCATACGTCAATCCTCACTTATTCAGAAATGATGAAATCTACTTGAATAAAATATTTGGAGTCCAAATAACAGAAACTACCCTGGGAAAAGGAACTACTTTAATGAGAAGACTATAAGAGAAAAGTTGAACAAACTTGAAGTCCTTTTAATAAAAGATTTAATAGTTAAATAACAATTTGCAGTATAGTCTACTGAGAGAAAAAAGAAATAAAGTGAAGAAAGGGAAGAGTAACTCTGAGGGCAAGTAT